GCAAGACTGATGTACAGTATCAGCACAGACTCTCGTTGTTGAATTCATCTTCCTTTATGAAGCTCTATCAGTCTGTCATAAAACAGGCTGAACGGAGAATAGAAAACTAATAGAGCGGCTCTCATACAGCTGTGTGTGTGTGTGTGTGAGGTGCAGCAGTTCTGATGAGAACCAATTAGAGGAGACACACCGATAAAAAATGATGATTAATTACAGTGTGTGAGCGACACTGCAGTAATGGATACTACGGTAAAGAAAATGAAGGAAGAGAGGAAGAGGAGAGACAGAGACGGTAGCCGGGGGCGTTCAAGAGCAGAAGAGGCTTTAGAAGTGTGTGTGTGTCAGGACAGCAGATATAGACCTGGTTTAAATTATTAATCACTCAGGAGAAATAAAGTTTACAACTGAATATGGAGGTTGTAATGGTAGTTATATGTGAAGATGAATCAGAATTATGATTCTTCTTTCACTCTTAAGTGACATAACATCAGGCCCACAACACTAAACTACACACAATAACTTGGCCTTTATATATATATATATATATATATATATATATATATATATATATATATATATATATATATATACACTCACCGGCCACTTTATTAGTACACCTGTCCAACTGCTCGTTAACACTTAATTTCTAAGCAGCCAATCACATGGCGGCAACTCAGTGCATTTAGGCATGTAGACATGGTCAAGACAATCTCCTGCAGTTCAAACCGAGCATCAGTATGGGGAAGAAAGTTGATTTGAGTGACTTTGAACGTGGCATGATTGTTGGTGCCAGAAGGGCTGGTCTGAGTATTTCAGAAACTGCTAATCTACTGGGATTTTCACGCACAACCATCTCTAGGGTTTACAGAGAATGTCCGAAAAAGAAAAAACATCCAGTGAGCGCAGTTCTGTGGGCGGAAATGCCTTGTTGATGCCAGAGGTCAGAGGAGAATGGCCAGACTGGTTCGAGCTGATAGAAGGGCAACAGTGACTGAAATAACCACTCGTTACAACCGAGTATGCAGCAAAGCATTTGTGAAGCCACAACACACACAACCTTGAGGCGGATGGGCTACAACAGCAGAAGACTCCACCGGGTACCACTCATCTCCACTACAAATAGGAAAAAGAGGCTACAATTTGCAAGAGCTCACCAAAATTGAACAGTTTGAAGACTGGAAAAATGTTGCCTGGTCTGATGAGTCTCGATTTCTGTTGAGACATTCAGATGTTAGAGTCAGAATTTGGCGTAAACAGAATGGGAACATGGAACCATCATGCCTTGGTTACCACTGTGCAGGCTGGTGGTGGTGGTGTAATGGTGTGGGGGATGTTTTTCCTGGCACACTTTAGGCCCCTTAGTGCCAATTGGGCATCATTTAAATGCCACGGCCTACCTGAGCATTGTTTCTGACCATGTCCATCCCTTTATGGCCACCATGTACCCATCCTCTGATGGCTACTTCCACCATGTCACAAAGCTCTAATCATTTCAAATTGGTTTCTTGAACATGACAATGAGTTCACTGTACTAAAATGGCCTCCACAGTCACCAGATCTCAACCCAATAGAGCATCTTTGGGATGTGGTGGAACAGGAGATTCGCATCATGGATGTGCAGCCGACAAATCTGCGGCAACTGTGTGATGCCATCATGTCAATATGGACCAAACTCCTGAGGAATGCTTCCAGCACCTTGTTGAATCTATGCCACGAAGAATTGAGGCAGTTCTGAAGGCAAAAGGGGGTCCAACCCGTTACTAGCATGGGGTACCTAATAAAGTGGCCGGTGAGTGTGTATGTATATATATATATATATATATATATATATATATATATATATATATATATATATACAGTTAACTAGTTTGTATTTTTATTTCTTTTTGGAGTTTGTTTTTAACTTCAATTTAATTTTATTAGTTTCAGTTGGCCATTTAATAGTTTTATTTATTTGTATTTTTGGAAAATGACTAGTTATTTTTTTTTTTTTAAGAAAATTAGTTTTTCATCTTTTTTAACATGGTACATCAAATGCCTCCGTCTGATTATGACGACACACTTTATCAGTTATGCAGGGTTAGTTGTTCAGTACTTGTGTACAGAGAACACACACAACATTTATTGCTTTTGTCTGTAATGCATGCATTTTTGCATTTATTTATTTATGCATTTACAATATTTATGCATGCATTAATGCATTTTTTTATTTATGCACTCATTTATGTATTTGCACTTACAGTATTTTTGCATGCATTAATGCATTAATTTATGCACTTACATTATTTATGCACTAACAATATTTATGCATGCATTTTTGCATTTATTTATGCATTTACAATATTTGTGCATGCATTAATGCATTTATTTGTGCACACAGTATTTATTTATTTAGGCACTTGAAATATTATGCATGCAGTAATGCATTTATTTATTTATGCACTTACAATATTTATTTATTTATCCATTATTTATGCATGGATTATTGCATTTTGAATTGAGTTTTCACTGCTGGTATTTATTGTTGTAGTAGTGTTGGTTAACCGTAATGATGTTGGTGAGACGAGGGAATAGGAAGCACATGTTCTGCTGTGTTTCTTTATATAGAACACATATATTAGTGAAGGAAATGAAACTCTTTGCAGTGATTATCATCTGACACAGGCCTCTCACACACACACACACACACACACTGTCCTCTTCAGCCTCGCCGCTTTATTTAATTATGCGCGTGCTGGTCTTCCCCGGCCGGTGAGAGGTTAACCGGCGGCTCAAACGTGTCCGTCTCTCGCCTGATGAATTGATCTCACGTCTGCAGCCTGTGGCGGGAATACATTACCATAACATACTGTACATGTAAGACCGACCAGAGCTCTTGTTCAGACCATAAATCATCTTTCATTTCTAAAACTAATGAGAGACCAAATCATTAGTGCTTAGTTAATTATCCGTGGCTCACGGGTGCAAATGGAAATAATGAATGACAGTGTGTGCTTTATACTGAGACAGGTATCACTGCTTATGGTGTGCGCTTAGTGATTAGATACCTCTGGTGTGTGTGTGTGTGTGTAGCTTTGCTTTCTAACAACTGAATGAATGCAGGCCTGCTCTCAAAATAACCAATTATCTGAGCACGACTGGTACCGAATCCCTCTCGTTCTGAAGCATTTCATTTATTTATTTCTCTGTAGTGCTCCTTCATTAATCTCTATTCAGTGATTCGTGTGTGTGTGTGTGTGTGTGTGTGTGTGTGTGTGTGTGTGTGTGTGTGTGTGTGTGTGTGTGTGTGTGTGTGTGTGTGTGTGTGTGTGTGTTATCACCGTCACCAACACATGAATATTCCTCTCCTCTAGTCTCTCATCAATGATGGAGGATGGCGTGACTACAAACCTTTTCTAATATATTAAATAGATAAAATAATTGAATAATGGTTTTTAATATATGTAAATCTAATAAAGTGTAACAATGTGACATGAATGTTTATATTTTGATTAATATTAGAGGTACACAATTCTGGATAAACTGAGAATCACATTATTTTGTTTAAATTGAGATCACGATTCTGAACAGACAATTAAACTAAGTAACGTTATTTACTAGAGGTTCTGACAAACGTCTATTTAACATGTTTAATTAATCTGAATGAATTATCTTTAAACATGTGTTGAGTGAATGATTCAATGACTCACTGAAAGACTTCACTTGTTTCATTAATGTATGAATCAGCTTTTTTGAATGAATCTCTTGAATGTATGATTCAATAACAAATACATTTTGCTATTGCCCCATGGGGATAAATAAAGTTTTTGAAATTAAATGAAATGAAATTTTGAACAGTCACGTGTCGCCACCTACTGGTGTAACGATGTAATGATACAATCTTTATTTGAAACGTCAAGTTACTTTTAAAAGCTGATTCGTTCTATTTTAATCGCTAGCATAGACATCAGGTTTTTATCCGAACTATTAACTTTTATCTCAGTACTTCTGGATAATATAAATATTTGTAACAGAAATATTGAAGCTGTGTGGTTGAAAATATTGTTTGTGAAGTGGTTTTATACTTCTCCATGACACCGGCTCTCTCCGGCTCAGCGGCAGATCTGAGTCTTCATAGACACGGACGAATCGCTGTCATTCAGGAATGAGATTTTGTGGGGTGTTTTGAGAAGGCGATCTTTAAACGATAAATCGTGCAGCTGTAATTCATGGAGAACAAAATGCACCATATTTACTTTGACATCATTACGGAAATAAAATGGGTTTTGAGTGATGTTGCATGTTTAAAATCTGCCCTAAAGCTAGCAACCAAAACAATTAACACCGAACACACACATACGCCTACAAACGCACACTCTCTCTCTCTCTCTCTCTCTCTCTCTCTCTCTCACACACACACACACACACACACTCATACAACACACTCACTCACTCACTCACATTCACACACACACACCACACACTCTCTCTCTCTCTCACACACACTCACACACACACCTCTCTCTCTCTCTCTCTCTCTCTCTCTCTCTCTCTCTCTCTCTCTCTCTCTCTCTCACACACGACACACACACACAACCACACACTCTCTCTCTCTCACACACACAACCACACACTCTCTCTCTCTCACACACACACACACACACACACACACTCTCTCACACACAACAACCACACACACAACCACACACTCTCTCACACAGACAACCATTACACACTCTCTCTCTCTCTCTCTCTCTCTCTCTCTCTCTCTCTCTCTCTCTCTCTCACCACACACACACACACAACCACACACTCACACACACACTTTCTCTCTCTCTCACACACACACACACACAACTCTCTCTCACACACACACAACCACACATTATCACACACACACACACACACACCACACACTCTCTCACACACACACACACACTCTCTCTCACACACACACACACTCTCTCTCTCACACACACACCCACACACACACACACACACACACACACTCTCTCACCACACACACACACACACAAACACACACACACACACACACACACACCACACACTCTCTGACCTGCAGTATTATGATCAGACAACAGTTGTGATAAATAAGAGGCTGTGTGTGTAGAGCAGGAGTCCACCGGGAGGACAGACTCTCTCTCTCTCTCTGAGGCGTTCATGAGAGTGAAGGAAGGATGAAGGGCTTCAGCTGACGGATGTTCTTCTGCCCTTCTGACCAAAGACACACCAGTCCTGTAAAGCCTTCATACATGCAGCCGCCCCTAAATAAATCATATCATATTAATAAAACAGAGGAGAGGTCGAGAACAGTCCCATTGACCTCAGGAGCTGATAAAGATCTTAATTATTCATGTGTTTTAATCCCATTACATTCATTTTTTGTGTTTTTGTGTTGCAGTATAACTATGAAGGAAGTGACATCAGCGATCTCCCTGTTAATCTGTCTGTGGTGTGGAATGGAAACTTCATCATCGACAACCCTCACAACATGCAAGGTAACCATGGCAACCGCTGCGGTACGCTTGTAGCAGGTTGCCTAGCAACCTTCACTGGATGCTGCAGAGAGTTGCCTAGCAACCTTCACTGGATGCTGCAGAGTTGCAGCATTTGTAAATGTTTCAGAGCATCTTTTGCTGGTGTGAGCAAGTGTGCTCATTTGTGATTAATGCTGGTATAATAACTCAAAAGACAGTCAGTTGTGGGATATTTCTTTTTTATTTATTTTACTCTTATTTATTTACTCATTTATTTACTTGTTGATTTTCTTATTTTAATATAATTTATTTTATTCTAATAATTTTTTATTTTAATATAATTTATTTTATTCTAATAATGTTTTATTTTAACTTACTTTTTGTTTATTTACTTATTTGTTTACTTATTTTTAATTAGTTTATATATATTTGTTTATTTTAATCTAATATGTATTTATCTGCTTATTTTTTATTTAATATAATTGTATTTATTTATTTAAATCTTATTTTTTTATTTTCTTATTTTAGCTTAATTTAATTCATTTATATATTTGTTTGTTTTAATATTATTTACTTATTTTAGCTTAATTTAATTCATTTATATATTTGTTTATTTTAATCTAATATTTATTTATTTTCTTGTTTATTTCTTATTTAATATAATTGTTAGTTTCTAATATTTAATTTAATCTTATTACTTTTTCTTTACTCATTTATTTTCTTATTTATTTTCTTATTTTTTATTAATTAATACATCTATTTATTTATACATTTTAATCTAATATGTATTTATTTGAATGTCATTTTTATTTATTTAATATTATTTATTTACTTGTTTGTTTACTTATTTTTACATTTTAATCTAATGTTTGTTTGTTAGAATTTTTGTTTTTGTTTTTCATTCTTACAGTTTTTCTCTGAACATTTTCCCGTATATATGATGCAGAAGCTTTGAGTTGTGTCCAGTGTGGTTCTGTTGCACCTGTAGGCCGTGAGCTTGAGTGTGTGTGTGTGTTGGTCTCGCCTCTGCAGCGCACCTCTACAAGTGCTTCGCTCTGAGAGAGAGCTGTGGTGTGTGTCTGAAGGCCGAGCCCAGCTTCGAGTGTGGCTGGTGTGTGCAGGACCGGAAGTGTTCGCTGCGGCAGGAATGCGCTCAGCCGGAGAACACGTGGATGCACGCCAGCGCCGGGAACAGCCGCTGCACACACCCGCGCATCACCAAGGTCAGCCACAGCACAGCAAACCATATTCATATTTATCTGGAATACGTGTTTTCCAACCTGAGAAGGATGACCGTGAATGCATTTAAAACACCATAGTCAACATCTTAAGTGGATCAAAAAAGTTCATCAAAGTTGTTCTAAGACAATAGATAACATAGAACATAACATATTCATGTATAATTTTGATGAAAGGTTTTGATCCACTTCAAATGTTGACCACTGTACATGTATTTAATGCGGGGATACTGTGTCATTAAATGCTGCTCCATCTTTATGTCTTACTTTCTTTGCTTTCAAACTTTACATCATTAAAGCATTACAATTTGTAAGGAGACTTGATTATTAATCTGTCATCATGGTCTCCCTGCGGTTTCCAATAACATAAGTTTTTATGATCAAAATAATAAATATGATTATTTATTTTTTATATTATTATAATTATTATTCAAAACAATATTTTATTATTTACATAAAATATACAAAACCAAAAAATACAAAAACATTATGAACTATTGCAGTATTAGTATTAGTATTTTTATTTTTATTTTTATTAAAAAAGTCTAATTTGATAAGGAGTAAACTTTCTTCTTTTGTAATTATCTGATCACATGCCGTCGAACGCTTGTCACAGGTGATGTCACAGGTGATGTCACAGGTGATGTCACAGGTCATGTCACAAGTCATGTCACAAGTCATGTCACAGGTGCTGATGAGGGACATTTTCTTCCTCCTTTCTGCAGTCCTGGACTAAAACACATCCGTTCTCGATGTTCTCCCTCTCTCTGTTTCTCTCGAAGTAGATTTTCTTGTCGACTTCTGAATTCTCCTGCCAGAGGAATATTAACTTTTCGAACGTCTACTTGCTAAATATACATCCCCTCGTGTTAATTAAACTCCTCCTTTGTTCTCGTCATTCGATTTCTCATGCGCTCGCTCTATCTGTGCGGCGCCGCCGTCGTCTTTTACTTATTAGATTAGGTGTTAATTTAATTTGGAGAAGAATGAATTTATCACATGGATTATTAGCTCACCATAGGCGCTTTGAGAGCCATCTGTTCAGAAGATGTACACCTATTCTCTGCTCTTCTGCTTTACTCTCTCTCGTATCTTCATCCGTGTATCTGTAAAAATGTGTGAATGTCAAATTAAAGCAGTCCCTCTGAAACCAATTACTGTGCGCTTCTCGTTTCGCTCTCCGCGTGAGTGTGTGTTTGTCTTCTGCGCTGGTTTGGCTGAAGATCTCGGATGAACTTCTGATCTGGTGTGTTTCCCGAAAGCATCGTTAGCCAACTATGGTCGCAAGTTCTGTCGTTATCAGCAGTTCAACGAGTCGGTGTTTCCCGAAACCATCGTTCACACGAACATCCGCAAACAGCATCGCAGAGTTGTGTGTGTGTGAGCGACAGATCTCGAGCTGCGGTTAGAAGCGGTTTCTTGTTTGCATGACGTGTGGACTCAATAAATCCTGATCATGAGCAAAATAAGCAAGCGGACATTCAGTGCAATCTGTGTCTTTTATTTAGAATACATACAAATGTCATTTAGTTTGTAAAGAGATTTAAAGCGTCGTTTTTGAAGAGTCTGAACGTGCTCTACTATGTAAGAACGAGTCTGTGATTGAATCTGGAAATAAAGCAAAATAACAGAGAACATGAGAAATATTCCTCAGATACATGTCTGTAATCTATAGCAAAACATCTAGCATTAATTCAATCTCAAACAGATTCATTAACAGTAGTTATTACTCCAACACCTGCGTGACATCATTAACCAACGTGGTTGATCGACCAATTTGCGACAATACGGTTTCGTGACGAGCTATCCGATTTCTTCAACGACGCATCATACTATAGTAGTGAAGAAGCGAGTTACACAGTTGTACGGGAAACAGCCTTGATGTCTTTTTAAGGAATAGTTCATTGATGTTCTTCTGTTGATCTGTCCTGGTCCAGTTGTTTCCTGAGACCGGTCCACGGCAGGGCGGAACCAGACTGACCATCACCGGGGAGAATCTGGGCCTTCAGTTTAAAGACATCCAGAACGGCGTGCGGATCGGGAAAGTGGCCTGTACGCCCATCGAGGAGGAATACATCAACGCTGAGCAGTGAGTCTCTGATACTGACTCTTCAATTTCAAGAGTCTCCTACAACAGGTTTACATGCATCAAATGCCAAAAAACACTTTAGTTTCCTCATAATCTCCACCGCAGCTTCAGCTCTTTTCTCTCAGTGTCTGAAACGCTTCGATCGAAGATTCAGTCTCTCTAAACCCCGCCTCTCTGAGAGCTGCTCTGCTCTGATTGGTCAGACGGCCCAGTCTGCTGGCATCAATCTGCATATTAGAATGATTACTGAAAGGATCATGTGACACTGAAGACTGGAGTAATGCTTTGATCACAGGAATAAATTATATTTTAAAATATATTCAAATAGAAAACAGCTATTTTAAATTGTCATAATATTTAATAATATTACTTTTTTTTGCATTTTTAATCAAATAAATGCAGCCTTGGTGAGCAGAAGAGACTTCTTTTAAAAACATTAAAAATCTTACCGATCCCGAACGGCAGTGTATATCGTTACAGTTGTCACTCTTGGTGTGAACGGGCCTTATAGGTCAGGATTTCAATATTATATATATATATATAATATATTTTTAATATAAAGCAGTGACGTGTGTTTGCTGCAGCTTTCCTACCTTATCCACTGTTTTCAGTCCTGTTGCTGAATGACTTTACAGTCTCCTGAAGCTAAACAAGCATCAGGGTTTCATTGCAAACACAGAAACTCTTCTCCCATCCGCACTAGAAATGCTCGACACAGACGCAGGGCGGTTAATAACTCACGAGCCGCCCCAGGGCATGATGGGAGGATTCGCTGTCCGTCCCATTAATCACAGAGAGCCGTTTTCCAGTCCAGTGAAGGTTTTACTGCGTCTCATTACAGTGGTGTGTGTTCATGTAGCGCCTGTAACCCGTCTGTCTCGTGTTCGGGACGCTCAATCATTGTTTTGAACGTTGAGCGCCGGCGGCCGTGCGTCCAGACCAAGCGGCAACCTTCCGGTCTCTCTCTTGAATCCAATACAGAAGAGACTTAACCTGCAGTTCATCGACTGGCCACTAGAGGCCGGCTGCAGAAGAGACTCAATCCCATAGACCCGCATGTTAAAATGCCCAACTTTACAGCAGAAAAAAACATGTTTACAGTCTGGTGCAAAAAGTGGATTTGGTCTATATAGCTCATTTTGCCCTTCATGACGACTGTGAGGGGGTGAATTTTTTTATAACTATCCGTTTAAATTATATTAAGCCTTAAAGTTCTACATAATTAAGGGCGTGGCCACTTGAGTGATAGGTGGATTGCCGCTGATGTCACTGCTACCCGTTTGTCTGCTGTCTGTTAGCGTCACATGACCTCAGCTAATCTGCCTCGCTTCACTTTTGCGTTTATCTGGGAGTGACGCGCTGCAAGATGGCGACGGCCGGCTCCGCCAACTTTGGGCTTCAAAAACACTCTTCAGAACACAGCGGGTGACGTCACGGACACTACGTCCATATTTTTTTTACAATCTATGGTCCAGACCCGTCTTAAGACCCTCGTCTCTTTCTCTCTCTCTCTCTCTCTCTCTCTCTCTCTCTCTCTTCTCTCTCTCTCTCTCTTCTCTCTCTCTCTCTCTCTCCTCTCTCTCTCTCTCTCTCTCTCTCTCTCTCTCTCTCTTCTCTCTCTCTCTCTCTCTCTCTCTCTCTCTCTCTCTCTCTCTCACTCTTCTCTCTCTCTCTCTCTCTCTCTCTCTCTCTCTCTCTCTCTCTGCAGGATTGTGTGTCGTTTGGCCGATGCCACAGGTTACCGTGTGCAGGAGGCTCAGGTGGAAGTGTGTGTGCGAGACTGTCTGCCGGAGTACAGGGCCGTGTCTCCTAAAGCCTTCACGTTTGTGGTGAGTTTCAGTGTCAAGGGGATGGAAAGGCGTAGAGCCAAACATTAGTCCCAAACTGATGAGCAATAACTTCTCAAAAATCAGAAAAAAAGATCCGCACACGAATATATATTGGTATATGTTACCAAGCATACACCTGTAATTTGTAAATTGTGTGTAAATTACTGCAGGGTGTATGCTTGGTAAGACATGGCACTGATGAAGGGTTGAACCCAAAAACGTTTTGCACACCTTGCACATTTTTGCACTTTTTGGACAATAAAATCCTGTGAGCTTTTTGGCCTATATTCGTGTGCGGATAATTTTTCTGATTTTTGAGTTTCAGTGTCATACATAAGACCGGACGAGGACGGCTTCTCTAGTCTTGTTACAAACTCAATGTATGAAATTCAAGTTTTTTTCCAGCTGAAGTGATTATATTTCATATCTTCTCCTGTCCAGTCTCCGTACTTCACGCGTGTGCTGCCGTCATACGGGCCGATCTCTGGAGGAACGAGGATCACGATCCAAGGCAGTCATCTGAACGCGGGCAGCGCCGTCTCCATCAAGATCGGACTCAACACCTGCCGCTTCCTGAGGTACTGCTCCTCTCAGTGTCACACTAGGCGCATTTCCATTACAGATTTGCGCAAAACTATTGTGATTTTTTTCTAAATATCGATAAAAAAACTATTGCGAAATGACGGGGTTTCCATTAACCGATGTTATGCGACTAAAACGTCATTTTCTCCTCTCGGGATCAGTCATTCCAAAAATCATGACGACGAATGTTGGTAGGTTTATGTATCAGAGCCACTGCACTGGCCATTATTATTATTATTAATGGAAGGAGACGTGTGTGTGTGTGTTATCCTAGCATTAATGGCAAGGAAAGACTCTTATACTGTGAGCGGCACATATGAGGAGTTTCTCTGTGTTTCTCCTCATGCTCGAGGTCGTGACTGTGGCATTTCTTTGAGGTTTAGAATCCAGTATTCCTGTAATTCTTTTGTCTTTTATGAATTTAATAAAGAACTCTGTCTCGTATTCTGTCCAAACATACGCGTCATTCTAAGTCATGTGACTGTAAATGAGCAAAAACTGTTTCCATTGCAGTTTTGCAAAATATTCCCTTTTCGAATTGCCTGAAAAACCCCCTCATGCGAACGTAAAAACTTTTTTGCGATAAACGGGGAGTTTTTGCGAAATTGACGTGTTTCCATTGTGCGTGTTTTCAAGTCGCAATTTCAATTTGCGCAATTTGAAGGGTAATGGAAACGTGGCTAATGTATTCTCTAAATCAGACCTCAACCGCAGACGTACCTTATTTAAAAATAAATAGAAATTTAATTTTTTTTTACAAAAGCACATAATAAAATTATGAAATACTAAACTAAAATTAAAATGAACCTGAAAATATAAATAACAGCTTATTCAAAATATGAATACATACTATAATGGCATATAAACAGTACTAAAATAGCATCCATGGTTTTTGATCGAATTTATTGGAATACTATTTAAATACAATATTTCATCCTAAAATCATTATATTTTGTACAAAGAATTATTTTTTTTTAGACCAGTTAGATTTTGTTCATGGAAATTAAGAACATTTCCACATTAGCATAATGCATTTATTTTCACATTATTCTCTCTCTCTCTCTCTCTCTCTCTCTCTCTCTCTCTATATATATATATATATATATATATATATATATATATATATACCAACAAAAAATCATAAATTTTTTTTTTATTATTTATTGATTTTGGTGGGAAAATTCACCTAAAACCTTCTCTTTGCCGTCTGATAGCATCTCTAAATGATCGTGCTGTCATAGTACTTTATCGTAGGGGTGAAACATGGGTTAATGTATGTCATTTTTTATGACTTTATTGTCTCAGGGAAGATGTATTATGCAGTAAGTCTAAAATAGTATTGTCATGAGACAGGAACTGGCAGAAGTGACTGATTTCTTTTAGCCGTCTTCAGAAACGATTGATGGGTTTGTGTTGTCGGAGCCAATCATGTGACGACAGTCTTGTCAAAATACATCCAGAACTCAGCAGGTTTCACCGGTGTGTGTTGTGAACACGGTTGCCTAGGCAACACCGCACCTTCACACACACACACACACATGTAGAGGACACTGATCAAACATGGGAACAAACCTTCAGACTGAATCTCATCCTCCTCTTATCTGTCACATGACTAAACGCGCCGTCAGACCCACGTGTTCGTTTGATCAGATTAAAGTCCGTCATGTTCGGAGCCGTGAATCTGTGATCTTTGAACCTCCAAACCTGATGCAACCTGATGAAAGTGTGTGTCACACACACCCTGCGCTTGCGCACACGTGATCCGCTTCACAATCAATTCTCTCTCTGGGTTTGCCAATACAATAAAATCATGTGATAACAAAAAAGAAGATTGGTGTTGTAAAGTGTGTAAAGGTCCTTGCACATTGAGTCCGAAATTTTTGCACGTTATAAAATATATTCGACCTCACGTTGTCAATCACGCTTACACACTGCCTGTGAAACTTTCATCCGTCATGAAGGAATTCGATTTTCTGTGTTTATTCGTAGCAAGCATTTCGAGAGGTGTTTTCTACAATTCAGAGCCACCGAATGACGAATACGAAATAACGCATTAGAAAATGTAACAGAAGTCCTTTAACAGAAGGAGATCTTGAGTTTGCTGGTGTTGTGTGTGTTTGACAGGCGCAGCGCCCGTGAGATCGTGTGTGTGACTCCAGCAGGATTGGGTTCAGGCGGGACGCCGGTGATGGTGGATATAAACGCAGCCGAGCTCAGAAACCCAGAGGTGAAGTTCAACTACACGGAGGATCCCAGCGTCCTGAAGATCGAGCCCGACTGGAGCATCGCCAGGTGCGTCTCACACACTTTCACACACCCTGACCTGTTCCTCTAGGCTTGAAGCGTGGGTTAAAGAAGTCCACTTGTGCGATCGCAACTGCTTTAGTGTGAGTGTTTGCAGCTCCGTCTCTGGAGGTTTGAGTAACATCACATCATCAAACTGATGACAGAGAAAAGCTGCAAACAGACCAGCGCTGAACCGTGAAGAAGAGAGAGAGAGAGAGAGACAGACATGAGTGAAGAGAGATAGAGAGAGAGAGAGATAGAGAGAGAGAGAGAGAGAGAGAGACAGACATGAGTGAAGAGAGATAGAGAGAGAGAGAGATAGAGAGAGAGAACGAGAGACAGACATGAGAGGAGAGAGAGAGAGAGAGACAGACATGAGTGAAGAGAGAGAGAGAGAGAACGAGAGACAGACATGAGAGGAGAGAGAGAAAGAGAGAGAGAGGGAACGAGAGACAGATATGAGAGAGAGAGAGAGAGAGAGAGAGAGAGAGAGAGAGAGAGAGAGAGAGAGAGAGAGAACGGGAGACAGACATGAGTGAAGAGAGAGATAGAGAGAGAGAACGAGAGACAGACATGAGAGGAGAGAGAGAGAGAGACAGACATGAGTGAAGAGAGAGAGAGAGAACGAGAGACAGACATGAGAGGAGAGAGAGAAAGAGAGAGAGAGGGAACGAGAGACAGATATGAGAGAGAGAGAGAACGAGAGACAGACATGAGTGAAGAGAGAGAGAGAGAGAGACCCTGGGTTTTTGTAGCTGAAATAGTAGAAATTATTTTACGACAGTCAAAAGCACCGTTCACACACACACACACACACACTCACACAAATAACAGCCGTTACATCTTCACATATCTGTTGTGTTTCACTTATAACATATTAAATACATGTGATATTGTCAACAGCATCCTGACTAGTTACACTTGCTCAACATGGGTAGTTATGTACTTCTATGCAAATTTAAAAACATGTCCGTTTTTAATAAAATATATATATATATATTTTGCAATTACGAACATAATATGCACTGCTGTTTAAAAGTTTGGGGTCGATAAGATTGGTTTGTGTTTTTAAAAGAAGCCTCTTCTGCTCACCAAGGCTGCATTTATTTGATCAGAAATGAAGTAAAAACAGTAGTAATGTGGAATATTGTACATAATATATAAAAGCAAAACAAAATATGAAAGCTGAATGTTCAGCATCATTACTCCAGTCTTCAGTGTCACATGATCCTTCAGAAATCACTCTAATATGATGATTTGCTGCTCATTTATGATTATCAGTGTTGAAAACAGCTTCATATTTTTGTGGAAATTTTCAGTATCCATTGATGAATAAAACGTTCAAAAGAGCAGTGTTTATTTGACGTAGAAACCTTTTGTAACATTATAACTTGTGTCTTTGAATTAAAACAGTTTATTTTAGAAAAAAAAATCTTACTGACCTCAAACTTTTGAAGGGTAGTGCACTACATTTTTAAAATGACAGACTTTCCCATGCTTCAGCAGTTCAGCACATACTTTAGTGCACAGAAGTGTTGTGTAAGCTGATGGATGGCTAAGAGGAAATGCGTGTTTTCTTGAGTTTACTCTGTTTTCTTCTCTCTGTTAGCGGTGGAACCCCGTTAACGGTCACCGGCACAAACCTCGCCACCGTCAGAGAGCCGGAGATGAGAGCCAAGTACGGCAGCGTCAGTGCCGTCAACGTAAGTGTCTAACACACAGATTCACCACTGCAGATTCAACGTATCAGCACTTTATGCTCTCTACAAAATATATTAAACGCTTTTTCTAAAACACTTTTTCCCAAATTTGTTTAAACTGTCTTTATATACCAATACATATTTAAAATGTAAGTACTCTGAAAAGGAGAGTATAAAAATTGAGTGTCTGTAGTCCTCTCAGGGCTGCAATAAACACAGCTACTCTTTCCATTCGTTACGAATGCACTGATTGGCTGGGCGACTGTCACTCTCCCTCGCTACCATGGCAACCACCCCTGCTGCTACAGGAGCCGCCCACATGCGCGCGCCCGGTTGACTCGCTCGTTACCGAATCAAACTCAATAGGAGCTGGAAGACGCGTTTACCAGCGCCGAGCGGAGAGGAGCGCAGTGCATGTAGTGACATCATGTCAGAATCACATGTAAGATGAAATGAATATAAACAACTAACATGGCTGTTAGTACTCACTATCAAGCTAGCATATCGATACTGGTAAAGTTTAAAATATATTGAGTTTGATTCGGTAACGAGCTAGTAACATAAGGCAAAGCTAAAAACAGGTTGCATTGATACACGTTTTCCCGTTACCATCAGTTACACTGTGATGAAGGTGAATTTCGTGTAAGATTCATATGGTGTATTGGATGTAAGAGCTTCCACGATGAGAGCCTCTCCTCTTCCGAAATGAGCGAGTCAACCGGCGCGCGCGCATGTGGGCGGCTCCTGTAGCAGCAGGGGGTGGTTGCCATGGTAGCGAGAGGAGAGTGACAGTCGCCCAGCCAATCAGTGCATTCGTAACGAATGGAAAGAGTTGCTGTGTTTATTGCAGCCCTGAGAGGACTACAGACACTCAATTTTTATACTCTCCTTTTCAGAGTACTTACATTTTAGAAATGTATTGGTATATAAAGACAGTTTAAACAAATTTGGGAAAAGGTGTTTTAGAAAAAACCTGCCTAACCAGCTTGATAAAAAGAAACATGCAAATCATCATATTAGAGTGATTTCTGAAGGATCATGTGACACTGAAGACTGGAGTAATGATGCTGAAAATTCAGCTTTGATCACAGGAATAAATTACATTTAAACATATATTCACATTTGAATATTTTAAACAGTGTTTTTGCTGTTTTTGATCAAATAAATGCAGCATTTGTGAGCAGAAGACACTTCTTTCAAAAACTGTGCTAAATCTTACAGACTCCAGACTTGTGAACTTGTATAGACTAGTTTTCTGGTGTTTTTAGTCTCTTCTGAGCTCTAAAGCAGCAGGAACAGAAAAACAAGTGTGTTCAACCGAAGCCCTGTGTGCCTGCACATGTTTTTCTTTGCGTATGTGTGACATTGAATCACCTTTTCCCAGTTTAACCTTTAAAATGACGGGATATAGAACATGAAATGTCTCTATAAAGCCCAGAGAAAGTCCCGCAGGGCGAACGTAACCTTTCCTCCTCCTTGACCTGCTCATCTGAACGGCTCTCGCTGCTGTTTTCCTGTGCGCTTAACCAGCGTTAGTCTCTCTCTCTCTCTCTCTCTCTCTCTCTCTCTCTCTCTCTCTCTCTCTCTCTCTCTCTCTCTCTCTCTCTCTCTCTCTCTCTCTCTCGCTCAGTCTCTCTCTCTCTCTGTCTCTTACTCTCTCTCTCTCTCTTGGAAAATAACAGGAGCAGTGCATTGGCTATATAAAGTTGAATCAGAATGTAGTTGCTATTTTTTTCAAACATGTTGCAAGCAAGAATATTGATTGATTTTGCTTATTACAAGCATATGGGTGATCTTATTATTTTTGAAGGTATTACGTGTTGCAATGAGACTTTGTGCTCTGTATTTGAAGGTGATTTGGTTTTTGCACATTTCTTGTGAGTTGGGGTTGCTCTTAATATTTATGCATATTGTAATTTAAATATACTGTGAAATGTATTTGTATTAAAGGTTTGTTAAAAGTCAAACTCTCTCTCTCTCTATCTCTCTCTCTCACACACACAGAACTGCACTGTGCTGAATAACACTGTGATGGTGTGTCTGGTGCCGTCCGTGGCCGGTTCTGAAAGAGGTTTCTCAGAGGTGGGCAGCGGGCCGGATGAAATCGGATTCATCATGGATAACGTTCAGGCGCTCCTGGTAGTTAACGAGACCTTCAGTTTCTATCCCGATCCTGTGTTTGAACCCTTCGGTCCGTCCATGCAGGAGCTCAAACCCGGTTCTCCTCTCATACTGAAGGTACTGCGGGATCTCATTGCACTTATTCTGTGTTTCTTTATTTTTGACTTAAGGAGGTAGTTCAACCAAAAATGAAAATTAGCCCATGATTTACTCTCCCTCAAGTCATCCTAGGTGTATATGGCATTCTTCTTTCAGACGAATACAATCAGAGTTATATTAAAAAATATACTGGCTCTACCAAGCTTTATAATGGCAGTGAATGGCCGTTTCTGTTTTGAGGTCCATAAAAGTGCATCTATCCATGATAAAAGTGCATCTATCCATGATAAAAGTGCATCTATCCATCATAAAAGTGCTTCTATCCATCATAAAAGTGCATCTATCCATCATAAAAGTGCATCTATCCATCATAAAAGTGCATCTATCCATCATAAAAGTGCATCTATCCATCATAAAAGTGCATCTATCCATCATAAAAGTGCATCTATCCATCATAAAAGTGCATCTGTGCATCTATCCATCATAAAAGTGCATCTATCCATCATAAAAGTGCTTCTATCCATCATAAAAGTGCATCTATCCATGATAAAAGTGCATCTATCCATGATAAAAGTGCATCTATCCATCATAAAAGTGCTTCTATCCATCATAAAAGTGCATCTATCCATGATAAAAGTGCATCTATCCATGATAAAAGTGCATCTATCCATGATAAGTGCATCTATCCATCATAAAAGTGCATCTTTCCATCGTAAAAGTGCATCTATCCATCATAAAAGTGCATCTTTCCATCATAAAAGTGCATCTATCCATGATAAAAGTGCATATTTCTATCATAAAAGTGCATCTTTCCATCATAAAAGTGCATCTATCCATGATAAAAGTGCATCTATCCATGATAAAAGTGCATCTATCCATCATAAAAGTGCATCTATCCATGATAAAAGTGCATCTATCCATCATAAAAGTGCATCTTTCCATCATAAAAGTGCATCTATCCATCATAAAAGTGCATCTATCCATCATAAAAGTGCATCTGTGCATCTATCCATCATAAAAGTGCATCTATCCATCATAAAAGTGCTTCTATCCATCATAAAAGTGCATCTATCCATGATAAGTGCATCTATCCATCATAAAAGTGCTTCTATCCATCATAAAAGTGCATCTATCCATGATAAAAGTGCATCTATCCATGATAAAAGTGCATCTATCCATGATAAGTGCATCTATCCATCATAAAAGTGCATCTTTCCATCGTAAAAGTGCATCTTTCCATCATAAAAGTGCATCTATCCATGATAAAAGTGCATCTATCCATGATAAAAGTGCATCTATCCATCATAAAAGTGCATCTATCCATGATAAAAGTGCATCTATCCATCATAAAAGTGCATCTTTCCATCATAAAAGTGCATCTATCCATCATAAAAGTGCATCTATTCATCATAAAAGTGCATCTGTGCATCTATCCATCATAAAAGTGCATCTATCCATCATAAAAGTGCTTCTATCCATCATAAAAGTGCATCTATCCATGATAAAAGTGCATCTATCCATCATAAAAGTGCTTCTATCCATCATAAAAGTGCATCTATCCATGATAAAAGTGCATCTATCCATGATAAAAGTGCATCTATGCATGATAAGTGCATCTATCCATCATAAAAGTGCATCTTTCCATCGTAAAAGTGCATCTTTCCATCGTAAAAGTGCATCTATCCATCATAAAAGTGCATCTTTCCATCATAAAAGTGCATCTATCCATGATAAAAGTGCATATTTCCATCATAAAAGTGCATCTTTCCATCATAAAAGTGCATCTATCCATGATAAAAGTGCATCTATCCATGATAAAAGTGCATCTATCCATGATAAAAGTGCATCTATCCATCATAAAAGTGCATCTATCCATGATAAAAGTGCATCTATCCATCATAAAAGTGCATCTTTCCATCATAAAAGTGCATCTATCCATCATAAAAGTGCTCCACACGGCTCCGGGGGGATAATAAAGGCCTTCTGGAGCGAAGCCATGAGTTTCTTCCATGAGTGTGAGAGAAATTTCAGTTTCAACTCTACACGTGAAACTGCATAGCAACACCCTGTCAACCATTCACAATCACACCACTGCCATTAAGCCAGCAGGTTTTGCATAGGAAACGCCTCTCCCTTTTTACTTTAAAAATCTAGTTCATTGAAATGCTGGTGCTGTGGTGTTGTGGTCCTGTCTCTCACTTCATGCACAGCGTTAAACAATTTCAGAAAAATTACATGCATCGGATTATCTGCGCAATTCAATTTCACATGCAAAACCTTCTGGGTAATATGCAATACGAGTTGAGTCTACGTGTTAAATGGAGCCCTTCAGTATCACACGTCTCTAAATGAAGCATGTAAATATTTCTGCATGCTTCTGCCATCCCACAAACCCCTTGGACAGAGAGAGGCAGTGTGTGTGGAGCGAGTGCATCATATGCACAGACGTATAGAAGTCATGAGGAGTTTAACCATCCTGGTTCACAAGTGTTATTTTAGTCTTGTTTATATACTATTATAGTTTTGAATTAGCTTTTTAATTTGTTTTAGTAACTTTAATCATTTTTTTTTAATATTTCTATTTAGCTTTAATTTATCTTTAGTTGAGTTTTAGTAATTTTAGGACTGTGACTTTAACTTATTTTAGTCAGGCAAAATTTAATCATTTTAGGTTTTTCATTTTATTTTAGCCCCGCCCCAAACTCTCCACCTGCTACGTTAGCCACTCCTTAAACTCACGCTATAGGTGGAGCAGAAAAGAGATTGACGGATCTGAGCGGACACTCAATGTTTAGATGGTTAATGGGAAGCTCAATGTTTACACTTTTGGGGGAGATGAACTACTAAACGGCATAATAATAGCAGTCCATTGGAGACCATAAGTCTGAGTGGACATCCATGACATGCGGAGTCCCTCAAGGCTCAATTCTTGCACCACTCCTGTTCAACCTGTATATGCTCCCAATGAGCCAAATAATGAGAAAGAACAAAATCTCTTACCACAGCTATGCAGACGACACACAGCTCTACTTAGCCCTATCACCTAACGACTACAGCCCCATTGACTCCCTGTGCCAATGCATTGATGAAGTAAACAGTTGGATGTGCCAAAACTTTCTTCAGTTAAACAAAGACAAAACTGAAGTCATTGCGTTTGGAAACAAAGATGAAGTTCTCAAGATGAATGCATACCTTGACGCTAGGGGTCAAACAACTAAAAATCAAGTCAGGAATCTTGGTGTGTCTCTAGAGTCAGACCTTAGTTTCAGTAGTCATGTCAAAGCAATAACTAAATCAGCATACTATCATCTGAAAAATATTGCAAGAATTAGATGCTTTGTTTCCAATCAAGACTTAGAGAAACTTGTGCATGCTTTCATCACCAGCAGGGTGGATTATTGTAATGGACTCCTCACTGGCCTTCCTAAAAAGACCATAAGACAGTTGCAGCTCATACAGAACGCTGCTGCCAGGATCCTGAGCAGAACCAGAAAATATGAACACATCACACCAGTCCTCAGGTCTCTACACTGGCTCCCAGTTTCATTTAGGATTGATTTTAAAGTATTATTACTGGTATATAAATCATTCAATGGGCTAGGACCTCAATATATTGCAGATATGCTCACTGAATATAAACCTAACAGATCACTCAGATCATTAAGATCACATCAGCTAGAAATACCAAGGGTTCGCTCTAAGCATGGAGAGTCTGCTTTTAGCTATTATGCCAGCCGCAGCTGGAACCAGCTTCCAGAGGAGATCAGATGTGCTCCTACAGTAGTCACATTCAAATCCAGACTCAAAACACATCTGTTTAGCTGTGCATTTACTGAATGAGCACTGTGCCACTGCTCGTCCGACAGTTTTTACTGTACTGGTTTTGTCTTTGTTTGTTTTTTAATTTTTAATTTGTTTTTAATTTATTTTTTTATAATCTCTGGAAGAGATTTTGAAGGAGAGCGGGAGAGTCTTCACTCCGATGAGGCGAGTGAAGGAGTAAGTTAGTTTACTGCTGAGAGTATAAGAAGTTGCTGAGAACGTAACGGCAGCAGACAGCGCACGGGAAGCGTGCTCTGTGGGGGCCCCGCTGGGCATTACTGGTGTAGCACCACCCCAGCAGAGTACGTCCCTGGGCTAGAGGTCCAGTGGCACCGTAAACCAGCTCAATCTCTTCCATCTCAGATAGGGGTGGACCAGTATTACTTTATTTTATTTTTTATTCTAAACTGTTTTAATTATTCTTATTTGTTTTGATTATTTTAATTTATTCTATGTAAAGCACTTTGAATTGCCATTGTGTATGAAATGTGCTATATAAATAAACTTGCCTTGCCTTGCCTTGCCTTGCCTTGCCTTGCCTTGCCTAGCAGTCAATGAACAATAAACTGGGATAAGAGAATGTAGTTTTAACCAGAGGTGTCAAAAGTATTCACATTCATTACTCGGGTAGAAGGATAGATACTAGGGTTTAAAAAGACTTCGGTATCAACTCAAGCTTTTTACTCAAGTAAAAGTGTAAAAGTACTGGTTTCAAAACTACTTAAAGTATAAAAGTAAAAGTAATGTAAGGAAAAAAAATGCCATTAAGGACAAAAGCTTAGGCCGCGCCACAGGGGTCTATAGTGCACTACCACCTCCATTTTTCTAAAGGCCATAATGTTATATTAAAATGTTAATGTTGAAAAATTTGGGATGCACTACCTGTTTCAGCCGCATATATATGCCCATTGAAAATGAACACATTTTAGTACAATGCAAATACATTAAAGAACCATATACAGGTCCTTCTAAAAACATTAGCATATTGTGATAGTTCATTATTTTCCATAATGTAATGATAAAAATTTAACTTTCATATATTTTAGATTCATTGCACACCAACTGAAATATTTCAGGTCTTTTATTGTTTTAATACTGATGATTTTGGCATACAGCTCATGAAAACCCAAAATTTCGGTCTAAAAAAATTAGCATATTTCATCCGACCAATAAAAGAAATGTTTTTAATACAAAAAAAAAAAGGTCAACCTTCAAATAATTATGTTCAGTTATGCACTCAATAGTCAATACTTGGTCGGGAATCCTTTTGCAGAAATGACTGCTTCAATGCGGCGTGGCATGGAGGCAATCAGCCTGTGGCACTGCTGAGGTGTTATGGAGGCCCAGGATGCTTCGATAGCGGCCTTAAGCTCATCCAGAGTGTTGGGTCTTGCATCTCTCAACTTTCTCTTCACAATATCCCACAGATTCTCTATGGGGTTCAGGTCAGGAGAGTTGGCAGGCCAATTGAGCACAGTAATACCATGGTCAGTAAACCATTTACCAGTGGTTTTGGCACTGTGAGCAGGTGCCAGGTCGTGCTGAAAAATGAAATCTTCATCTCCATAAAGCTTTTCAGCAGATGGAAGCATGAAGTGCTCCAAAATCTCCTGATAGCTAGCTGCATTGACCCTGCCCTTGATAAAACACAGTGCACCAACACCAGCAGCTGACATGGCACCCCAGACCATCACTGACTGTGGGTACTTGACACTGGACTTCAGGCATTTTGGCATTTACTTCTCCCCAGTCTTCCTCCAGACTCTGGCACCTTGATTTCCGAATGACATGCAAAACTGAGCAACAGTCCAGTGCTGCTTCTCTGTAGCCCAGGTCAGGCGCTTCTGCTGCTGTTTCTGGTTCAAAAGTGGCTTGACCTGGGGAATGCGGCACCTGTAGCCCATGTCCTGCACACGCCTGTGCACGGCGGCTCTGGATGTTTCTACTCCAGACTCAGTCCACTGCTTCCGCAGGTCCCCCAAGGTCTGGAATCGGTCCTTCTCCACAATCTTCCTCAGGGTCCGGTCACCTCTTCTCGTTGTGCAGCGTTTTTTGCCTAACTTTTTCCTTCCCACAGACTTCCCACTGAGGTGCCTTGATACAGCACTCTGGGAACAGCCTATTTGTTCAGAAATTTCTTTCTGTCTTACCCTCTTGCTTGAGGGTGTCAATGATGGCCTTCTGGACGCAGTCAGGTCGGCAGTCTTACCCATGATTGCGGTTTTGAGTAATGAAACAGGCTCGGAGTTTTTAAAAGCCTCAGGAATCTTTTGCAGTTGTTTAGAGTTTATTAGTTGATTCAGATGATTAGGTTAATAGCTCGTTTAGAGACCCTTTTCATGATATGCTAATTTTTTGAGACAGGAATTTGGGGTTTTCATGAGCTGTATGCCAAAATCATCCGTATTAAAACAATAAAAGACCTGAAATATTTCAGTTGGTGTGCAATGAATCTAAAATATATGAAAGTTAAATTTTTATCATTACATTATGGAAAATAATGAACTTTATCACAATATGCTAATTTTTTGAGAAGGACCTGTATGTGTACTACTGAGCATTAACCCTTTAAGTGTCACCCCCCTTTTTTTGAATATACATGAAAATGCACATTTCAAACTTAAATGGTTGTAATTCAAGAATGCTTTGGAATATAGACGTAAGATTGGTCTCGTTTTAAAGAAGACATTTGGCAGATTTTTGTGGAAGTGAAATAAATTAAGAAAGTGAAACAGAAAAAAGTTATAGAAGTTTGAGTTTATGAAATCGTACAATGTAAAATATTTAATTATTCATATTTTATAGAAAATATATATTTTCAAAACCTGGGCGACTCTAAAACTGCAAAAAAAAATCTAAGTCAAAAATCTGAACAAGTTGTGTTTCAAATTTTAGGTTGATATCTCAAAAAATGAGCGTTCAGTAATATTTTGTTTGTCTGCAGTACCAAACTTTTTCACTAGATGACAACTAGACTCCATTACTGCCCATATAAGGGTGCCTCCATTTCCATATGTGTTTTGAGTGATATGAACCATTATTTCCACAATTTTCATACAATTTATGAAGTAGACATCCTATTCAGAAGTAATATGAGAAGTTTGGCAGATTTTGATATGAATTCAACCTCTAAGAAACAACAATAACAAGTATGTGCGTTATAGCTTGCTGCCACATCACAAATGGTGAATCTATAATTGTTTTCTTTATATTTAAAAAAATTTCAGACCTTTTTTTCTAAAATAATTGAATGGATGCTATCTTTTGAACTCTTGGCATGAAAACAAACCCAGGTTTCTACCCTTCTTTCATGATTTTTCATGTTCATCACTATTTCAAAATAAAGGTCTAAACACGCCTTAGGAGTATGAAAATTTTCTTGTTGCAAATTGATCAATTATGGCTCTTCTGTAATTCATTTTGAAAATCAATCACCAAATATGGAAACTAGAGATTGTAAGCTTTCAAATGATATATAGTTTGTCAAGATTAGTTTAGGTTTAGTATAGGATATTACTGTTTTAAAAATGTAATGGATTTGGGCCCACCGGTGGGCCGGTGACACTTTTAAACTAGCTTTTTTGGGTTAAAAATTATCCTAAATAAATTTTTGAGCAAGTACATAACCAGCCAGGGTTCAAAACCACCTGTTTTTTTATATATATATATTTTTTAACGATGACAAGCCATAATGAAAACAAGCCGAAACACTGGTAGATTATTTTTGGATGATCTTCTGTATATGACAATATGATACAAATTCAAAATAAAGATGTTTATTGTGTTTCAGGGCAGGAATCTGATTCCTTCGGCTGCTGGCATCTACAAGCTGAACTACACCGTTCTGATCAGCGACAAGCCGTGTGTGTTGACCGTGTCAGAGACGCAGCTGCTGTGTGAATGGCCAGATCTCACCGGCCAGCATAAAGTGACTGTGAGTGTGTTTCAGTACAGATGATGATTCCCTTCTTCTGCTCTTTCCCACGACTATCACACCGTCTCGTTTGTGGCTCTTCCTCTCATTCATCTGTGTTTCAGTCCATATTTCTCAGCATCAGATTACTGACGGGAGTTTCTGTCGTGGCTCTCGGGGGGTTTCCTTGTGTTTATTCACGCAAAGAATCTGAGAAGCAGATCTGTATTTATATGTAGCCATTTTCATCTTTAAATAGCTGTCTTTATTTGCTGAACGTGAGAGTGAAATTATATTTTGTATGGCATTGCTCCGATGTTTTTTCCCAAGCTGTCTGCTCTAATTCTGCGAGACGAGTCTGAAGGGAGAACGACAGCTTGTTTGACCCACATGTTTGTCCTCGACCCGTATGGAAGCTGTGACAGCGAGAGACCTGCGTTTACTCCGTATAAAACTAGCCTGTCTGACCCCATTAGCCCCTTAAACCCGGCTAAGTGTGATCGCTCTAAGACGCAGCTTTATTTAAGCAACGAGGATTAATGTGGTGCTGTGAGGTGCGTTCACAATGGGATTGTGGGATAAAACGTAATCACAAATGTTTTGGGAGCTCATTTGATCCTATATTGTAGTCTACTTATAATGATAGTCTTGGTAACTTGCACCAAAAACAGTCATAGTTTAGTTTTTCATGATCATTTTCCCACTTTTACAATAAAAGTCACCAGTTCTTGTTTTGAATGGAATATTGCAGGGTTTATTTTAAATGTTTTATCGGGGCACAGTATTATTGTTTTAAATTCATGTTCCTCGTAATCTTGAATCAGAGTAACTTCCTCTTGCAGCATCTCTTCTCCTCTCTGATGACGAGGGCGGGGCTATAACCTGTCACTCACATGAGATCAGCCAATAGCAAACCACAACCATCCAATCAATTCCTCACGAACACATTGAAGCCCCGCCCACATTTGTTCTTGTTCCAGAAGCTGTTTCATAAACATCACAATAGAAACGAATAACGCAACTTATGTTTCATGCTGACTTTAAACAGGCCGCTCTTCCATATGTAAATGAGCTCTGTCATGATTGGCTGACCTTTTTGCATATGAAATGAGGAGCTGTGATGGATTCTGAACTGTTTTTGCTGTTTAGTTTCAGTAACTACTCTTTGCGGACTTGTAAAGGACTTGTTTCCGTGCACTGACCACTTTGACACCTGTCAATCATCGTGTGACGTGCTCACTGTGTGTGTGTGTGTGTGTGTGTGTGTTGCGCAGATCCTGGCCGGAGGTTTCCGCTACTCTCCAGGAACCCTGCAGATCTACTCCGACAGCTTGCTGACTCTTCCTGCAATCATCGGGATCGGGGGAGGAGGAGGCCTTCTTCTGCTCGTCATCATCATCATCCTCATCGCCTACAAGCGCAAATCCCGGGACGCGGACCGAACGCTCAAGCGACTGCAGCTGCAGATGCACAACCTGGAGTCCAGAGTCGCCCTGGAGTGCAAAGAGGGTAACACACTCTCTCTTGCTTTCTTTCTTTCTTTCTTTTGCTCTTTTTCTTTCACACTTTCTGTCATGCTTTTTAATGCTATCTTTCAATCTTCTCTTTTGCTCTTGCTTTCTTTTTCTCTGTCTTTCTTTCTTTTGCTCTTTCTTTCTTTCTTTCTTTTGCTCTTTCTTTCTTTCTTTCTTGCTTACTTTTGCTCTTTCTTTCACACTTTCTGTCATGCTTTTTAATGCTATCTTTCAATCTTCTCTTTTGCTCTTCCTTTCTTTCTTTTGGTCTTTCTTTCTTTTTTTATTGCTTTCTTTTGCTCTTTCTTTTGCTCTTTCTTTCACACTTTCTGTCATGCTTTTTAATGATATCTTTCAATCTTCTCTTTTGCTCTTCCTTTCTTTCTTTTGCTCTTTCTTTCTTTCTTGCTTTCTTTTGCTCTTTCTTTCTTTTGCTCTTTCTTTCTTGCTTTCTTGCTTTCTTTTACTCTTTTTTCACACTTTCTGTCATGCTTTTTAATGCTATCTTTCAATCTTCTTCTCTTTTGCTCTTCCTTTCTTTCTTTTGCTCTTTCTTTCTTTCTTTTGCTCTTTCTTTCACAGTTTCTGTCATGTTTTATAATGCTATCTTTCGATCTTCTTCTCTTTTGCTCTTTCTTTCTTTCTTTCTTTCTTTCTTTCTTTCTTTCTTTCTTTCTTTCTTTCTTTCTTTCTTTCTTTCTTTCTTTCTTTCTTTCTTTCTTTCCTTCTTTCTTTTGCTCTTTCTTTCCCACTTTCTGTCATGCTTTTAATGCTATCTTTCAATCTTCTTCTCTTTTGCTCTTTCTTTTGCACTTTTTCTTTCTTGCCTTCACACATTCTTTCGCTCCCTCGCTCATTCGTGCTTTCTTTCCGGCTTTTACACTTTCTTTCATGCTTGATTTTACTCTTTCTTTCACTCTTTCTTTGTCCTTTTGCTCTTTCTTTCTTTTTTCGCTCTCATTTTTCATTCTTTCTTTTGCTCTTTCTTTCTTTCACGCTTACTTTTGTGCTTTCATACTTTCACTTTTATCCCATTTTTTTACCCTTTTTTCATACTTTTTGATGCTTTCACTCTTTCTTTTGTGTTTTCTTTGTGCTTTCCATCTTTTGCGCAATTTCACACTTTCTTTTGCACTCTTTCATTGAGCTTTCTTTTGCTCTTTCACTACTTTTGCTTTGCTTCTTTTGCTCTGTTACTTTCGTTCTTTCACACCTTTCTTTATTTTTTCTTCTGCACTTGCTTTCACTCTTTCCTTAATATTTCCTTTGGCTCTTTGTTCTTTTTTTATTGGCTCTTTATCCGTCCTCTTGTTCTCTTTCATTGTTTGTTTGTTCTCTCCATCTCATCACTCTCCTTCAATCCTTTTCAAGTGAGTTCAATTCCATCCTTCTCTTCTGTTTGCTCTTCGCCGTCTCTCTCTGATTGGCTTTGTTTTCTCCGGTCTCCTGTTAGCGATGACCTCACGACGCACACATCATTTATCATACACACACGCGCGCACTGAACGCCCGTCTCATTCCCTCCGCGGTCACAAGGGCGTGAGACGAGTCGCCCATTATCTGTCTCTGTCGGGCCCGAGGTGACGACCTTGTCTGTCTCCAGACTCGGAGAGAGGGATGAGGACAGGGAAGAGAGGATAAAAGAGATGGATAGCGGGAGGTGAGAGTGACGGGTCACTGATAAGTGATGAGGCGTCCTCCAGGATGAATAAAAAGAGGCGATAAATAACCACAACATCCAGATTGATTAGGCGAGTGACAGACTGGATCGGAAACTTGCGAAGGAAAGCATGTTGCATGTTTAAGCTTGTTAATAAGCAGGGGTGCACATAACTTTTTCAGTGAGTTACTCAGGTGAGTACCAGGAGATGGTGTTTGGTACTCACCCCATATGTAGCGTGGTCTTAATAAGTGCAGTCCTCCTCAGTGTAGAAGCTGTCAATCACAGCTGTCAATCATGACGTCCCATTCCCGTTTTTATAGCATCAAATAACTAACTAAAGACCGAACTTATTTTAAAAAAAACGAACACTTAAATTTACATCAGCGTGAAAAAAAAGCTACCTAAAATGACAGAAAACATCTTTGGAAAAAATTTATTTGAAGTGTAATTTGATTGTTTAGTTCATTAGACTTCATGGTGAGGATTTTGAACATCTCACTGTAGATGTGTCAGCCGATAATTTGTCAGTCAAAAATAGTCGATCTCCGAATGCAACTTAACAGGGAGGAGAGTAAAAATGAAAAGCTCCTAAAGCTTAGTTCCATATAAATTCACGGATAATTTGTTGTTTTGTCGTAAGTGAAAAACAATATTGACCTTGTATTTGAAAAAGGATCCTCGTATAAGAAACAATACTAAAATTCAGAGTCAGTTCATTCGGATTCGGAGATCGACTATTGCGGAGATTGACTGACAAAATGCCGGTGTTACTGTTCTGGCTGACACAGACACAGTGAGTTGTTCAAAATCTTTCTTTTTAGGAAACTCTGTTTACACAAACAATGTTCTCAATGCTCGAGTTCATGTGTAGAGCCCCTGGTGATACAAAGTTTCAGCAAAGTTTCATGTTGTGTCGAGCCTTCTTAGTGTTTAAAAATAGCGATTTTTGATGCTATCATATACGTGCCCCTAGCTCTCCCATTCAAAAGCCAATTTGACCGAAAACGAAAGTGAAAATCGCTCAATGAACTACATCTCCCGGGAAGCGAAACAACGAGCAAGATCCGCTGCTCGTGTGTGTGCAGTCTGGTACAAAACACTCAGGCATGACGGCGTAACGTTACGATTTTAACGTAAGACTATAGAAACAATGACAGACGTTAGCTTCAGTAAAATTAGCTTTAGCTTCAGTAAAGTTAGCTTCAGTAAAGTTAGCTTCAGTAGTTAGCTTCAGTAAAGTTAGCTTCAGTAAAGTTAGTTTCAGTAAAGTTAGCTTCAGTAAACTAAGCTTCAGTAAACTAAGCTTCAGTAAACTTAGCTTCAGTAAACTTAGCTTCAGTAAACTTAGCTTCAGTAAACTTAGCTTCAGTAATGTTAGCTTCAGTAAAGTTAGCTTCAGTAAACTAAGCTTCAGTAAACTAAGCTTCAGTAAACTAAGCTTCAGTAAACTTAGCTTCAGTAAACTTAGCTTCAGTAAACTTAGCTTCAGTAAACTTAGCTTCATTCATTGAGAGAAAATGTGCGCCTTTTGGGTTTGTAGTCTTTGTAATTATGTATTTTCACAGTCTTATACCTAAACAGTTTTACATCAAACTGCGACTTTATTGACTTAAAAATGTATCTTTTAAATTGACAAACATCATATGTGTAATTCAGGGCACAATTCAAACGAGATCAAAATATTTGTTGTCTCTCGCCATTGACTACCATACAATATTTTTCCGAAATAAGGTCCCATGGTGGTCGACCGGAAGGGGAGGGGCTTAGGCTCTCTATAAGCATCTAATAAACTACTTCTGACTGACTGAATATCTGATCAGAATACAAGAAACCCGTTTTCTTCTGCTTTACATGACACCGAGATTCATGGTTTCTCTGACTCTGTCTCCAGCGTTTGCCGAGCTGCAGACCGATATCCATGAGTTGACTCAGGATCTGGATGGAGCTGGAATACCGTTCCTGGATTACCGCACGTATGCCATGAGAGTGCTTTTCCCAGGAATAGAGGACCATCCGGTGCTGAAGGAGATGGAGGTACATACGGACAGCTTTAACCCAGGCTAATGTTAGACCAGAGCAGAACTAACCCCGGGCTAAACCTGGTTTCTCCAGAGGTTTATTCTCCACTACTGTCACCGGGTGGAGTTTGGGTTTCTCTCTTGGTTAGCTGGGGTTTAAAACACACATTCAGTAATATTCATGATTATTGTTAATTGTATTTACCCTATCCTATTTATTTATTTATCCTAACCCTTTATTTAATTGTATTTATTTACCATAACCCATTTATTATTATTTTAATTTATTTATCCTAATCCTTTTATTATTATTATTTTTGTTATTTATTTTACGTTATTTGATTTATCCTAACCCATTTATTTATTATTTGTTTATTTATTTACCTTAACCCATGAATTATTATTATTTTTTGTTTATTTACCTTAACCCATGAATTATTATTTTTTGTTTATTTACCTTAACCATTTATTATTATTTATTTTATTATTTTTATTTTATTTATCCTAACCCATTTATTGTAATATATATATTCTTATTTATTTTCTACCTGAACCCATTTTTTATGGACCGTTATTGAACTGAATTGATCAATACTGAACTGAATTGATCTGAATAATAACACTAATGTCTTCTGTAGAGCTGCTTTCCAGCTGAAATGATTCGGTTTCATAATTGGTGTATTCTGCAACATTAAGCTGTTATTTTCCTGTTTATTACCGCGAAGCTGCTTTGAAAAGATCTGTATGATATATAAATAATATATATATAAATAAATATAAATAAACGTGACTAGACTTGATGTTTTGATCTGATCGCAGTGTGTCTCGTCTCGTCTCTCTCTCAGGTGCCGGCGAACGTGGAGAAGTCTTTGACTCTGTTCGGGCAGCTCTTGAACAAGAAGCACTTTCTGCTGACGTTCATCCGCACGCTAGAGGCTCAGCGCTCGTTCTCCATGCGGGACCGAGGGAACGTGGCGTCTCTCATCATGAGCGCCCTGCAGGGAGAGATGGAGTACGCCACCGGTGTCCTGAAACAACTGCTGTCCGACCTCATCGACAAGAACCTGGAGAGCAAGAACCACCCCAAACTCCTGCTGAGAAGGTACGCCATCTCACGTCACCTTCCAGTTTTTGTACAGCCGCGTTTCCACCGCAGGAACTAGCGACTTTGGGCTGGGACTCGCTGTGTTTCCACCGCAGGAACCAGGGTCTAAATGAAGCTCCGGGTAAATATTTCCCCCTCGCGAGCATGGGCGTGTCTAGAAGGGGGGTACAGGGTGGCACTGGCCCCCCCTGGAATATGATTGGCCCCACCAACATCATCGAGAGCCTAAGTCCCTCCCCTTCCGGTCGACCACCATGGGACCTTATTTCGGAAAAATATTGTATGGTAGTTAATGGCGAGAGACAACAAATATTTTGATCACGTTTGAATTGTGCCCTGAATTACACATATGATGTTTGTCAATTTAAAAAATACATTTTAAAGTCAATAAAGTCTATACATCTGTTACAGTTTGATGTAAAACTGTTGAGGTATAAAACTTTGAAAATACGTAATTACAAAGACTACAAACCCAAAAGATGCACATTTTCTCTCAATGAATGAAGCTAACTTTACTGGAGCTAACTTTACTGAAGCTAACGTCTGTCATTGTTTCTATAGTCTTCCGTTATAATCGTAACGTTACGCCGTCATGCCTGAGTGTTTTGTACCAGACTGCACACACACGAGCAGCGGATCTCGCTCGTTGTTTCGCTTCCCGGGAGATGTAGTTCATTGAACGATTTTCACATAAAACTAAATGTTACTCTTCTGTTTTATGACAAACTGCGACTTTCTTTCAGAGTTATCTTTTAAATTGACAAACATCATATGTGTAATTCAGGGCACAGTTCAGACGGAATAAAAAGATAAGTTGTCTCTTGTTTGGAAGAACAACACTTCATTATTGTTTTTAATTCATGTTCTTTCATACTTACTGAGCCCAAAATATTAACGTTTTGTAGAGATCCTTCTGTATTATATTAGATGTCTTATAACTGAATTAGGTAACACTTTATTTTACTGTGTCCTTGTTACATGTACTTACCATAGTAATAACAGTAAATTATGCATAATTACATGTAACTAACCCTCAACCAAATCCTACCCTAACCCTATAGTAAGTACATGTAGTTGCTTAATATTACTTAATATTACTAAAGTTACTTAAATATATAATTACACTGTAACAATGACACCTTAAAATAAAGTGTAACCCTGTATTATAAGAGAGCAAGAACCTGTCGTGAAGGTACGGCATCTCACTTCACGTTCAAGTTCCCATGTCGCACCTGTTAATGGACTTCGTGAGTTTGACTTCTAGAGGTCACTTTATTCTCCCATCACTCATTCGCTCTCCATCCCCCCGTTTCCAGGCTTTGCCCTTTCGTGGTCGTCGGTGTTTCATCCCTCTGTTTCTGTCAGATGATATTACACACCTGAACCCACACACGTTCCCTGCGGAGCGAGATGAAGACATGACAAGACCAGCTGAGATTTGATGAGAGATAGAGCGTGAGAGTCGGAGGAGTTTATGACTTTAGTCCAGAACATGGTGCATGTCAGTCTTACATCAATATCACAAAAGCAAATCGACCATTTCTGAAATGATTTCATCTCCAGTTCCTACAGCGCTCGGCGTCTCATGTCCTTCACTTTGGCTTTATTTACCATGAAGGTACAAAGACTCGGTCTGGACCAATCTAACGATAGCATGTCACGGGACGTTCTCTGTTTTCCACAAAATTAGAAAGGAAAAAAATTATATTATAAATCTATCTATTTTTAGGACCATTAAGATTCTTTAGCATTGAAGCATTGGCTCCATTTTCTTAACAAAATATAATTTTTAAATAATTTTATTTGTTTTTGTTTGTTTTTATCATTAACCTAAATGTGTATTATTATTAATTTTTTTATTTATTTCACGTAACCGTTTATTATGATATTATTGTTGTTTGTTTATTTAGCTTAACCCCGTTTTTTTATTATTATTTCACCTAACCATTTGTTATTATATTATTATTGTTTATTTATTTAGCTTAACCCATTTTTTATTATTATTATTATTTATTTCACCTAACCATTTGTTATTATATTATTATTGTTTATTTATTTAGCTTAACCCAATTTTTATTATTATTTCATTTAACCATTTCTTATTATTTATTTATTTAGCTTTACCCATTTATTATTATTTATTTTTCACTTAACAATTTATTATTATTATTTATTTGATTATTTATTTAACCTATCCCATTATTTTATTTATTTCACTTTACCATTTATTATTATTTTTTGTTTATTTATTTAGCTTAACCCATTTATTATTATTATTATTTTGATTTTGCTTAACCATTTTTTATTTTTTTATTTTGCTGAACCATTATTTATTTATTTATTTATTTTGCTTAACAATTTTTTATTATCATTTGATTTATTATTTTTCCCCATATACCATTTATTATTATTATTATTATTATTATTATTATTATTATTTAGTTAGTTATTAAGCTAAATCATTTATTATTATTATTATTATTATTATTATTTGTGTATTTAGGTTAACCCATTTATTTATTTTATTATTAGTATTATTAGTATTATTAATTATTATTGGAAAAGTAAATTATGACCAGGTCATGTTCTGGACATGTTTTGTGATTGATACGCCATATTCATGTGCCAGCCATATTCATGATTCATGGACAGTGAATCTGTCAGAAATGATCATCTCTCGTCTTCAGAGTGATTTGGTTTCGCTGCAGCTTCTCAGTTTCTCTTATTCTCTCTCACATGACAAACATCACCTAAACATCAAACACATGTGAGCCGTCAAATCTCAATCTTTCACCCCTCCAGGAACGTTTCCAGCACAATATACTCAGTTTTTTTTAATACCTCCTCACAGTCTGTGTTCCTCGTGCCGTATCGCTCTCCTCTGCATCCGTCTTGGCATCAGAACGAGTGAATAATTCAGCAGAGATGGTAAAAACACAGACTCCTCGTCTACGCCTCCTCGCGCACGCCGTGAGCAGATTAGCGCTAATAAGGTCCGTTAATTACCAAGCCGTGTAATTAGCCTCATTCCGAGGGACTTTTTTCGGAGGGTTGTTATTGTGTGCCAGGTTTCTGTTTAATGACAGAAGATACAGAATATTTTTAATTGGTGTTTTCTTAATGAAGTTTAGTGGTTTGCTTTGCGAGGGAAGAGAGCAGCGCTTTGGTTTGTTGTTAATGCTAAATTATTAGCGTGTGTGCTTTGAAGGGTTTTCCCCGAGCTGCGTTCACCAACGCTGCTGGAATAATTCGGCCGCCGCACTTTGATGTCAAATGGGAGTTTAATACAACACACACACACACACCCCAATAGATGTTGGTTATCAGAATGGCTGTTTTTCTTGTTGTGAGGCTTGGGAAATTGTGAAATGAAGAAGCCTTCAAAGCATCTCTCTGCTCTTAAAGGTTCCCTCAGGGACTCCCACACCCAAGCAAATAAATCCTTGACATTTATTTTTTACTCTGTTCCCCCCTCAGGACTGAATCTGTGGCTGAGAAGATGCTAACAAACTGGTTTACTTTCCTCCTCTTCAAGTTTCTTAAGGTAAGTGGAGGGAACTGGAACGAATGACTGTGTTTCCGTGCATCTTGAACGATGTTATTCGCTATAGAAAGAGAGCTCACGGGTGTTTGCTGGTCAGTCTGGTCTGGTTTACAGGTTTTAGAGAGCTTTAGATCGGACGCTTGGCAAGCAAGGAGACCAACTAAACCAGCCATCTTGTCAACAAAATGATTGACTGATATTTGTATTAGTTGCCCCATTTCCATACTACTTAGATTTTGAATGCACCAAACACTAGATGAAATACACATTATGATAATCATTGAATATATTTAGATACTGTTAAAGTCCCCCTGTGGTGAAAATCCAGCTTTTAATGTTGTTTATGTGTCTATGTGGTGTTTTTAATACGCTTTAAGACAAAGCATGTGTAAATTCATAAGTCGACAGCATTGCTGAGTATTTTCTCCTTAAAGGGGTCATATAATGGTACATGCACTTTTACAAGTTGATTGTACTGAAATGTGTGTTGGCAGTGCCTGTACACAACCATCATATAATGATAAAAATCCATCCAGTGTTTTTGTTTTAATCTCCTTATATGTTTTCCCCTGCCTCAAATCGAGCCGTTCGTTTTTGTGACGTCAATAAAACGGACGCCCCACCCACGATTGTTGATTGACAGCAGCGTTTCAACACAGACCCGCCCTGAGCGAGCTGTCATCATAGTCCGTCATTGTTGATACCTTTTTTACAGTCTAGCGTAAAATAGTGGTGCAACGGATCATCATTGATCCGTGATCTGTTCGGATCAATATCTTCGGTTCGGCACACACGTGATCCGCGGATTGATTTATGAAAAAAAAAAATTGTAGGTGTGTGTGTGTGTGTGTGCGCGTGCGTGTGTCCTACGCATGTTTAGTCCACATACATCTCCACAGCGTGGTCATGGCGATCGGAGGACGTGAGCTTAAACGCCCCGCGTCATTTAAATCCCCATATATGGGAGCATTTTGGCTTCCCTGTCAAATATAATGATGAAGGAAAGAGGTGTTGTGGCAAAAATTCATCTCAAACAAACATCACTGCGTAAGAGACACTCAGAGTCAAATTATATAAAATAGAAGTATTTATTCTTGCAAGAATAGGAGCAGTCTAATACACAGTTGTTACCCTGTGCAGAAGAGTGACACACCCCCAGACAGACTGAACTAGCTTTTATCTTAGTTTCAAGGCCTTCTTCCCCCCAGAGCCTTCCTCCCAGTAGTTTTCCATAGACGTCACTAGTTGGCCCACTAAGCTCCCCTGCACCAAATGGCCTTCTGACATCTAGGTCAGAGGTCCTTGTTCGTCTGTTCTCTGGAGTGTCTCCCTCTTCTGCCTCCCCAGGTACATAAACAGAATCTTCTCTCACTACAAGTGAGAGACACACATGTGACATTCTTTGAATCACCTATATTTAACTAAAGATCAATGAATATCATTAAAATTGCCACCACAACTCCTCACTTTTTATCATTCTGATTACCCATAATCACAATAATAAACAATAAGACAAATTTTAAGTCATATCATCACACTTATACTCTTCATCTCTGATTTTTCCATAAATGATCACTCTCCTTGAACCTGTGAAGAAAAGTTTAGAATGAAGAAGCATAAGGCTGTTTTTGTGGGGGAAAGGCCCCGTAATATTTTAGCAAGCAAGTAAACATGTTTACGGTGCCGGGCTGAACGAGAAATCTCTGTTCCTGCGCTCCTGTAAACAGACCCTCAGTCACACCAGTAAGGAGTAAATAGTTATAACACAATAAGGAAACCAACAGAAAAAGTATAATAAAAAATCCCTCAGTTTCAACCCCTGTCCTTGTACGCCATCTCGTAACACGGATGACTGCTGCTTTTAACCGTCTTTAAATCTTTTGCCCTTAATCTTTCTCAGAAAATAAACAAATAGAAGAAAAACAAACAGAACATACATTTAACACATATCTCACTGTAGCTCCCGCTACCTGTATCGTCACATAATTTTGTTCATCCTTGGGATAGACTGTCATTTCCACCAATTGAACAGACAGCATGTTTCACCTGTCACTGTAATCATATTCCCCCATGAATAACAAAATTATTAGAATAACAATCCTAACTCCTATCATTAAGCCTTTTCCATTAATCTACGCCCATCTTCATATTTCACCTCGGTTTTCCTAACCATATTTTGTTCACTTCTAATTCAATTTAGTAAGCTCTATTTAATGCCATATTTAACAAAATCTAACCAGAGAAGTCTTATAATTTTATCCATTCTTCTAACCAATGCAGTTGTTCAATATTAACTCTAATATTTCCATTACGGACACAATCAATATATTTTCTACATTTACAATCAAATCAATACCTAGTTTGATTCAATCAAACAAAATCATCACAAAAACAGATTCTTCTGTTAAACTTAAACCATCAGTTGTGTTGATCATCTCGTTCGCCCCACGGACGTTCCGTGTTCTTTTACCTTTACAGGGTATCCGCGGGTCCTTAAAAAGTCTTAAAAAGTCTTAAATTAGATTTTAAAAATTTATGGCCTTAAAAAGTCTTAAAAAGTCTTATTTTGACTTATGAAAGGTCTTATGGCCACCCTACGACATATCTAAATGTTTTCCAAATTAAAACTATCTAATTAGCGTACTTTTTTATTTACTATTCGTTCTTTGTGGATTTGCTCGTTCACGTGACATTTCGCGTCACATTCGCGCCAGCATTACGTCTGTCTCCTGCACGCGAAACAGCAGGAGAGGAGAAGAAAGCTGGTTAATTTCAGTTCAATTGTGAGTTCATTCTTTATGTGCGTAGTGGTGTGCGATGTGTATTGTCTATTATGATATTGTAATCATTGTTTTACTTTAACGTTAAGTATGTACGAGGGCGCACTGCGAGCTGACATCGCATTTGTCTCTCATGCTTGCTTTCACTGCGTGATGTGTCAGTGCAGTTATTATAGGTATGTTCCCTAATAGACGTATAAAGTTTTTGTATTTTATATATCATATGTTGTTATCATACAATATTACATCAGCAAGAGGGCTGTTTTCCCGTGCACAATAGCAAATATGATATTTATTTTATATAACAGTTAAATTAACATTGTTACATTTTATAAACAATATTGTCAATATTGTTTGTTTTCCCTTTATTTCGCTGACGAGAATTTCAAAATGAAACCGTAGCAGAGTCTCAATGCAAAAGACAGCGATGATTTCTTGACTGAAATCCGCGTTTTGAACGAATCATTTTAACGATTCAATGAACAATCACTTGCAGTTCCCGAATGAATCAGCCGTTTGAACAAATCGTTTGAATGAATGACTCCCTGAGACAGTGACTTGCCGCCACCTACTGGCGGGTTTAGTTTCACATTTAAAGTACCCTGTAATTAAAATGTTACAATTAGAAATCAGTTAATATTTAAATATTGAATTAAGAATTGAAAGAATTGAATATATCATAGCTTTATTTATGCAATTGTAAATGGAGTATAAATATATTAATGCCAGTTCTGATGCTGCTTCTGTGTCTCCTCTGCACTGCAAAGATGGATTTTGATTTAATGATTTAATATAACTGGTAACAGTGGTATTGTGTTATTATTCTAATATAATTTAATTTGAATGTTAGAATTTGACATAAAAGGTGATGCATACCTCTAAGTAAAAAAAAAAAAAAAAAGTCCATATATGGGTGAAAATGTCCCTGGAACTCAATTTAAGGTTGCAAATATTGCCCTTTAATAAAAAAATGTTAATTCCTTTCACTGCTGTGAACTGACCACTGCATAGAATATGAAAAATATGAATATCTTCGTGAGTCAGCTGTCAACAACAGGCCTAAACCAGCCATGGTACCAGTACACAAACACAATCAGTAAAATATCATCTAATTATCATCAACAAAACTTTGAAAATATTGAGACATTTTTTTTTCAATATTGCGCACCCCTAATGTAAGGTATTAATTTTGATTTCTTCAGGTCTTAAAAAGGTCTTAAAAAGCCTTAAATTTGACTTTAAAAAGTGTGCAGATACCCTGCTTTAACTTTTAATTCAAACATGCTGTGGTTCTACTTAATAAGCTTCAACAATTATCCCTATAATTTACATTAATTAATAGATCTTCTCTTCCCAAAAACATTTTCCTTAAATATTTCCTAATGAATAAGTAACCAATCAAATCTTTTGATCTACTGTATATCAATACTAAGCCCTATTTTGATTTAATCAAATCAAATCCTCAAAATAATCACAAAACCACATTCTTAAACCATTAGTTGGTTCACATCCTCCTCCAGGCGTGTTGATCATCTCGTTCGCCCCATGGACTATGGGATGGTTGTGGCCTGTTGGTGTAGGTGAGAGGCTTGGACCCAGGTGTCAAACTCTCCAACCATTTTCTGATCCTTATAAGGTTTTCCCTTAAATCACGACCGCACCCCCACTGGAGTGAACTGTCACCTGTGAATGGAGACCTTAAGTATTTTGTTAGTGACCGCTTGTCTAGCCGCTCGTCCCCTTTGGTGTGACCTGTGGAATCAACAACCTGAAACATATTATCACCGGATAATTTCTTGCTCACTTAATAGCACTCGGGGTCCTTTTACCCTGAAAAAACACTCAACCCACTTTGCTCATGTCCACACAATATTTATACATTTGGAACAGAATTAGTTCTGTTTGATCCAATCCATCCTGACATTCTGTAAAAGGAAAATTTTAAGTTATGCGCTGCGCAGGTGTAGCACCTATCTGCCACAATAATAACCCAGGCCAGGATAGTTAGCCAAATTCATCCATAACCATTATTTTATTGGCACATTTTGCCCTGTCTCCCAATCCTGCATGCTCTCTGTAAAGAGAAACAAATTTCGAGGTTATTGTCAGATAGTAAAGTACGTAGTTTCTTTTGTCTACTGTTCTCCCGTGGCCTTCGATGCCCTGGCGTTTCCTGTTGAAACAATCTTTGTTATTGGTGTGTGTGCACACTCACAGACA